TGGTCAGTATCGAGTTGGTGTCTCGTCTAATGAGTCAATCCCTGCGGAGTCAATCGAGTTGACAGCAAGGCAGCGAGTGCCGAGTGTACCAAAAGAGTCTCGTAGTGTATCGCGGTTAGTGCATCATTGAGAGAGCGTGTTGAGCTCCAGGAATGACCGAAACGAAGAGTCGGGACCTGTGTTCAGTGTGTCGTTGAGTGCATCGCGACTTGTAGCGTGGAGAGTCTCGAGAGTACGTTGAGTTCCGAGAACGACCAAGCAGAGTCGGGAGCTGTACTCAGTGCTGGTGCTTTGCCGTGAAGCCGTCTCCACCATGATAGCCTGATAACCTGAACGCTGTGTCGCTGATCGGATTTATAGTAGTTCATCATCGACTGTAAAAACATGTTTTGGAGCTGTCCTGACAATACTGGCCAATAAAGCGTGTTTCGGTTCTTCATCAAGTAGTATTGTCATTATTCACTCCAAATCTTCACCAACCTCATACGAACGTGAAGGAAGAAAATAACGTAACAACTGGTGTCAGAAGAAAAACGCAACAATATGTTTTTTACCTGTGAAGCCCACCAACAGCTAACTGGTAATGGTTTTAGCAGTAAGTTAAGCTAAAGTTATTGGAAATGATTGCTATTAAGCATATCTAAATTTGGGCTAAAAAACATGATATTAAGTATAAAGTTAGCAGAAAGAACAAGAAATTAATTATATAAATCAATTATTATTAATTATATAAAATTATATAAGTCAAATTAAGCTTTTTAAACATGATATTTACTGTATATGAATTAAAGCTAGGAGAAAACGCATATGCAAATAATACATAAATAAAAATCAACTTGTTAACCATGATATTTAGAGCATATAAACTGAAATTATTAGAAAAAATATTGAGAATACACAAGTTAGCATAAAAACAGAGTAAATGTTTGTTTGTTTAATTGAAATCAATTACTGATTTCTAATAATAATTTTTATTACAAATGAATTAAAAATTGCTTGTATACTTAAATATTAAAATACTTTATTTCCTTTTCACTTGATTTGCATGATCATGAGAAGTACTTCAGTTAGAGTTGACTTTGTATTATCACGAAGTTGTTTCATTTATCGCCAAGTTGGTTTGTTTATTACCAAGTTGTTGTTTCATTTATGGTAACTTGAGTAGCTGAATGTTATGAAAACCTTATTATGACAAAATCGTTTGCATCATTACAGGAAATTTTGAATTGTAATGTTTTTTAAGGGCTTTTGTGGTGTGTGTTCGTTAGGAAGTAAATTGCTTGTTTCATTGTTTAAACGATAGAATGGATGAATGTAGTAAGATTAATTTGAAGTTTCTGTACGATTTGGAACAAAAGGGGGAAAAGTCCGTTAATTGACTGCTGTGTAAATGAAGGTTTACTTAGTAGCCATATTCCGTAAAGTCCGGAACTATGTAGGATATTTTTTACTCTTATTTTTGTAAATTTATGTGGCGACCCCAATATACGGGTTCTAGTTCTGATAACTTTAAGAAGTTTTTGGATACTGTTAAGGAATTTTGTGTGCCACAGACTGAAGACAAATGAATTTCTAAATAAGGTAAGTGGATATTTGCCTTACGTAGTGCTTAAATGCATAGCAGGTTTGATCGTAGTCTGGTTTCAACACCTTTTTTTTTCCCACGCATGGCGTTACATGAGTCCATTAATACACTAATTAAGTTTGCCCATGGAATATTATTATTTCAATAGTATTAACAACTGCTTTAAAAACAGCTTCTGAATTGCAAGATTCCATCTTTAGAGATGCAAAATGATGAACTACAACTTCATTTGATTGTTGTCATAAAACTGCACCAATATTGCAGTTACTTTCTTGAGCATTGCTAGTATTTCATCCAAATTTAGAGAAAATGGAGTCTCCTTTAAAGTTAATGATATTTCCTTAATAGTTTTGAGAGCCATATTTCTCTTATAACATGCAGTTAGTCCTGGACATTCCAACGAGTTTAGTGCCGTCTGATCGCGACTCAACGTTGCAGAGTCAATTAAATTGGAGCTACATTGAGAAAGAGAATTCTGGCAATAACAAAGTTATGTACCTCTTGGGTGCTTCTTGTCACTATCCAATGGTGAGCTCAGTCTCCAGTAAGCTATCAGTTTTTTGAATAGCATAATTACTTAAAGCATGAATGTCTAATGCACTTTGAATATTTTGTGCGTCACATTTTAGAATGATTTGTGAAAGCGTTGAATCCTTCCCCACCATACTTCAGCAGGAGTACAAAAAACACAATATGCTGTCCAGCAATTTATTTCTTGCACAGTGCCGCTGGTATCCCCATACCCATCTCGTTCAATCCAATTCCAACCTAAAGCATTCGGACACCTTCTTCTAATGTATATATCCACTATTTATAGCGAGAAATTCATAGTGAAATTCTCTTGCGTACATAATAAAAAATATTTCAATAAACGAAACGAAAAATTTACACGTGCATCAATAAATGAAACGAAAATTTACACAGCGTAGAAAAAAAAGTTGAGAAGCGATCAATGACAAATAGCTAATACGGCGAAAAATTCCCCCTTCCTACTTATTGGCGCCAAGCCAGGAGAGATAAGACCTTTGAACCCAGAGTCACAGATTGCACATCTGTCGAACGAAGTCTCTCCCTTTTTTTCTGCCGCGCCTACTTGCCAAAAGAATCCAGAAGAGAATGTCAAGAAACCGGGGGAATGAGTCCTAACTCGCAATAAGGAAAGAAAACAAAAAAGAAGTTTTTTCCCCCTTTTCACGCTTACACTGCCTTTGGAGAAAGAAAGGAAAAGTTTTCACCAAACACACTGACCTGCGTTTTCTGCTTTCAAAGCAAACAAATACCCAGATCAAAATAATTCATTATTATTCCTACTTCCTTTTGAACCACGATCCCCGGAGTTTCCGGGTATCAAAGTTCAAAATCCCCGTAATTCCAGGGTTTCCCCGGAGCACAAACACTCCTGTATGTTATTTTATTGTTTGGTTTAAAATTTAGTTTATTGAGATTAAATACTTTTTGTTTGCCTCTACTGTAGAACTGGGTGCTCCTTTGACTTTTTAAGTGAAAATATATCGATGTGCACATCAACAAACTCGAAGTAATGCGCAAAGCCTAGTTTGCACAATTCTGTTTTTTTTTTTTTTTTTTTTTTTTTAAGTGAAAATACGTTGATGTGTACATGGATAAAGTCAAAGGAGTGCACAATGCCATTTTTGTGCAATTCTGGGATTTTTTTTAAGTGAAAATAGGTCGATGTGTATATGAATACCAAGTTTGTGCAATTTTTTGTCTTTGTGTAGCAGTGATTTTTGTCGCAAAAATTGCCGCTACGCAAGCCAAAATAACAAGTCAAAGAATTGCAAAACCTCGGTATCCATGTACCACCAAAAATCGCCAAGGGGTACCCTTAAATATACTTTAACCAGTACTTTTCCTTTCTTTTCCCAAACAAAACTGTTCAAGATACAGTCTATAGGGAAGCAGCCTTAATCTCATTTGCAAAATTTGTGAATGGATCTTGACAGTTAATTTAATTTCATGCCAAAATAAGTATTCAAGTGATTTGCTTTGGAGAGACCACTTTTTGATAACATCATTTTCAGAAAAGATAACAGCAAAGTAATGATTAAGTGGAAAACACATCACTTTCAAAAAGTGTAAAAATGACGTTAACCCTGTTGTAATACTACAACGAACAAATCAGGAACAAGGATGAAAGAAAGCAAGAACAATTGAAGAGGAATGATTGCTACTTCCGAACAGCACAATAATGAGATTACCAGCTCTGAACTCTTTTGATCACTTTAGGCCGTGTTTACGTTTGGTGGGTTCTTTGTGGTACTGCTTCCAAGCCACTGACTGCATACACAATTTAAAAAAGTAAATTAAAATAATAAAAAAGTTTTTTCTACAGTTAGAAGGCAAAGATAGCAGTAAATAAAAGTCTGACAGTGAATAAAGTTTATAATTCTGGTAATTTCAAAACATCAGTAAACAGTATAATTCTAGTAATTCCAAAACATGAATAACGGATTTATTGAAACTGTCTATTCATAGTAATCAAAAACGCTTTTTAAGTAAAATAAATGCTTCAGTAGATCATTTAAATACAATAAAATTGTTACTTATTTAATATAAGTATATCATGATAAGTAACAGATACACTATGCTTAAATGATACATATTTATTTATATGACCATGAAAGTATTTATCAATGTTTCTAGGACACGTAGATTTTAAGAATAATGAAACGAAATACAAAGCATGCTCTTTCCAATAACAGTTATGTATGACATTATATTGCGATAGCCAAATATATTTTCCAAGAAAGAATAATACCTTTCCAAACTATTCGATACTATTTTCCAAAGATTTACACGGGTTTCCCCCCCCCCAATTTTTTTTTTCTGGGTGCATTACTGTCAACACATTAATCACTCAATTAATGCTGAATGTAGTTTATTCCTTAATACATACTATTTGAGACTGTAAGTGATGATGTATATAGTGTGCTCAATGTTTTCTGCAAAATATTAATGTGGATACACTGCTATTTTATTCCAAGCTAAGTAACCTGTTAGTAATATGCGGAATTAACTTTTAATGTTATATCTATACCGAACATATAGGTATTATAAACATCAGAAAAAAAGGGGGGGGCCAAGAAAGGTGGAAACTAATGTAAATTTAAGATACAGAAAGTTATTCATTTCAGAGTTTGGTGTATTTATCATTACTATCCGTTACCTTCAAATACCTTCCTTTAATTAAAACTCATATCAAGATATTTTGTAAAGTAAAGGGAAAAAAAAACCTACTATCCAAAAATTCAAATAACATATATTTTAACTTTAGCACTAGAACTTAAAGGCTCATTAAATTTGCTTCACGCAACTGAAATCCGCAGTAGAAAACTCGAATTAAATGCAGTTCAGATGCAGTACATATATTCGAATTGCGACATTCTGATCCTACCTTCTAAATCAACAACCTTCCCTGCACGTTTTAAAGCTCGAACTGCTTCATCGTGAGTAGCTTCACGTAGATCCTCTCCGTTCACTGATAAAATAGCATCACCCACATACAACTGTTCAGTTTGATCTGCGGCCATACCTTTGAATATTTTACTAATTAGAATTGGCATTTTGTTCTCTTTTCCACCTTTGATACTAATTCCTAAACCATTATTATCCTGTTTTACAACACGAACAACTCGTTTTTGATTAGCTATGCTTTCCGGAATATCCGGTGGCTCTGTATCTGATAGTCCATTCGAGGGACCATTACTAACTTCATAACTTTCATCTAAACTAATACTTAAATAGTCTTCTTCTAGGGTTACTAAAACTTTTTGCCACTGTTGACGTGTGTACACCTCTAACATTCCAGTTCGGAAACCGGAATGAAAGTTCGGGGCGGACATCTTGCTGTCTATGACGTTTCAGGAAAATAAATGCTGCCATTCTGTACGTATAAACTAAAATAGATAAATTAATCCTGAATAGGTTTGCAGATTTCGATGAAGAGTAAATGAGAGTATTGTATAAAATTCCTCAGTTGCACTGCTTAAACACTAAATTAATACTAAAATTAATACCAGCTAGCTATTCAAATGTTAACTTGCTTCCTAGTCAAAAGTCAAACATAAGTTTCTATTCTTCCTATGAGAATTAGTAAAGTATTAAAATTATTAATGTTAAAATGAATATTTACAGACTAATCGCAAAGATATAAATAAGTGTTTCTGGTGTTTAAAATAAAAACAGAATGATTTGGAAATAACAAAAATCTCTAAATATTCTTATTTCTGAAATGTGTGAAAATGGTTTCATTATCTGGCAATAATACAAATGGTATCTTGATAGATGGGTTTTGTTTGTGCTGATATCAAGAGTATCTAAAATATGTCATATTAGATTTTAAGCTGCATTATTCTTTAATTTTTGAACAATTTTTTAAAGTTATATCTTGAAAGGGTATACATAAGTGTAAGTAAACGGGAATATTTTGTATTTCATAATCAAAATATGTGTTGCTTCAAATCTATTAGTTACATGAAAAAAGAAAATGATTTATCTCTTGTTAAAAATGTAATGTTCGAAATCTTCTATGTTAATTATTTGAAACTTGCTAAAGCATACGAAATCAAAGTAATCTTAATTCACAATTTGTGACATATTGGTAATTCGTATTTTAACTGCATGTACATGAGTGTATTTCCATTTTTACTCTTTAAATTTAATTTGAAATTAATTAAATATTTTTTATCTTCCAAATTTAGTGTTTGGAATGTATTTATTATTTTTATTTTCGTATGTTTACCGTTGTTAAGAGCGATAATAAGTGTTGAACTGTAATGTATATTTTTGCTGTGATTAAATAATAGGTTCCATTTTTATCCTGCATGTATTTGAGTTTAAGATAGTGTTTTTTTTTTTAGTCACCCTTTTCTATAAATTTATTCTGTACATCCATTTAGGGAAAATCGATTTTACAAATATTTTAGTATAGTAATGTAAGCAGCAAGCAAATTGAATTTTAAGCTAAGTATATATGGAAAAATTTACTCTTTTCTGAAAAGTTCTGATGAAAATTTTGTAGTATTCTACAGTATTGTAGTATTTAGCCAACTTTATTTTACATCTGAATAGTTAATTATGTTCACTTTCATAACTGGAACTCCTGGGGCTCCATTAAAAAAATTGTCGGGGCTAATCTTTGGAATATGGTAACAGGTAGTTTGGAGACATTTTGGTAAGGCGATAAAGGTTACTAGCTAGGACTTTAGCAGTGTACATAGATAAAGTCAAGAGTGTGCGCAATGCCATTTTTGTGCAATTCTGGGATTTTTTTTTAAGTGAAAATAGGTCGATGTGTACATGGATGATACCGTGTATGTGCAATTCTTAAAAACGCCGCAAGCAGTGGGCAATTCTGCACGTTCTCCTAATTTTGCACCTAATGTTCATCATGATTAAGCACTTTTGTTCCATAAAAGTTCTAGCGTAAGCGTAATTCGGCTAGCAGATTGTTGAAAAAATATTGAGTAAAAAAAAAAAAAAAAAAAAAAGCCTTTACTTCGTGAAAACAAAATGGCGTCAAAAAAAAAAAAAAAAAAAAAAAAAAAAAACTACCAGGTTGCTGTAGAGCAGAGTGGTCTCCAAATCCAAAAAATCCCCAAGTTACCGTAATTCAAAGATTAACCGTTTTCAGTACTATTCGGTTTCGAGGGCCGTAAAAAATCGCCAAACTATTGTTGATGCCAATGCTGCCAAAATTAACTGTGGCAACCCTAACGCAAGAGAGGAAATATAATAGGAAATAACTATCTAATATTGATGTTTTAATTTAGATGAAAGGTTAATTTTATACAATATTTCGCTACCAAGTTATCGCTAAAGCATAATGTCATTTCGTTGGTTGTTCAAACATAATTTTCTCTGATGAATGATGCCTTTTCTTTGAAAACATTGTCAGTAAAGTGCAGAATCACCCACTTATTTGTTTGCCGCTTTTTACAATGGTAAAAACAACTGAATTTTTGTCAATTTTCTTTTACTTTTTAAGTGACAATAGGTCGATGTGTACATAGATAAAGTCAAGGGTGTGTGCAGTGCCATTTTTGTGCAATTCTAGGATTTTTTTTTTAAAGTGAAAATAGTTCGATGTGCACATGGATACCGAGTATGTGTAATTCTTAAAAACGCATCAAGCAGTGGGTAATTCTGCACTTTACCTAAAATTCTATTGCTGACTTTTCGTCATGGGCAATTCCCAAATTGTTAAATCCATAGGATATCAAAAAAGGATTTAAAATAAAAAAAAGGATTTAAAAATTAAACTAGTATTTCAATGGCATGTTAAGAAATATAGAACTATATAAACTTACGCAATCTGAAATCAACGCATACACTAGATTTGGCGCATACATTTTCGCTGCAATTTTTTTACGCCCCTCAAAACAGAATAATACCAGGAAATACTATTTTGGGACAAATTGTAAAATACCTATTTGCCTTACTCTGTATGTAATCTTTTTCATCAGGTGATTTGGTAAAAGTATATTTTAGGGTACTCCTTGGCAAAACTCTGCGTTATTTTGGCTTGCGAAGCGGCGATTTTTGCGCCAAAAATCTCTGCTACACAAAGCCAAAATAACAAGGCAAACAATTGCACAAAATCGGTATCCATGTATGCATCGATTTATTTTCACTTAAAAAAAATCCCCGAATTGCACAAAAATGGCATTGTGCACTCCTTTGACTTTATCCATGTATACGTCGACCTATTTTCACTTAAAAAAAAAAAAAAAAAATCCCCGAATTGCAGAAACTTGCATTGAGCACTCCCTTTACTTTGTCCATGTACACATGGATATATTTTCACTTAAAAGGTCAAAGGAGCTCCAAATTTTGCAGTATAGGCAAACAAAAAATACATAATCTCAATAAAATACATTTTAAACCAAACAATAAATTACATGATTACCATGATTTTCGAGTTCGCTTCGTACACCCAGAGCCACGTAAAAATCAAAATATCAATCATACTCAAATGACTTTTTTCAAACCAGGTACTCTTTTTGATCGAACGCTTCACATAGTGACCATCTGAACCTTTCTTCCTATAAACCCATTCAAATCCATCAAACGGTTTTTTACGTTCGACTATAGACAACACATATCCTTCCTACATACAGGACCACTTATAATGCTACTAATAGTAACCTTCATTACACACCAGTCAATAAAGCGCTTTTCCCCTTTCGCTCCAAATCATACAAAAACTTTAAATTAATCTTACTAGATTCGGCCATTCTATCGTCTAAAGAATCAAACCAACACACACCACAAAAACGTTTATGAAACATCCCATGATTCAAAATTTCCCAGAATCATGCACTCGATTACGTCACAATAGGGTTTTCATAAATTCAACTACTCAGGCTACCATAAATGAAACGGCAAACTTGACAATAAATCAAACAACAACTTCGCCATCATACAAGGGGTACCTTAAAGTCTTCTCTACCTGCCAATTTATTGTGTAAACAATGTACTAATCCATCACACACAAGCCCTTACCCAAAATCCAACACACACTTTCCAAATTTTTTCCCACAATTCAAATTCACCACAACCAATAATGTCATAATAGGGTTTCCATAGCATTCAACGGTACTATTCTGTTTTGAGAACCGTAAAAAAATTGCAGCGAAAATGTATGAGCAAAAGCGCCAAATCTAGCAAACGCGCCCATTGAACAGCGCGCCAAATCTAGCGCACGCGCTCATTTCAGATTGCATTAATTTATATAGTTCTATATTTTTTAAGACGCCAAAGAAAAATTAGTTTAATTTTTAAATCCTTTTTTGATATCCTGTGGATTTAACAATTTGGGAATTGCCCATGACGAAAAGTTGGCAATAGAATTTTGGGTAAACTGCAGAATCCCCCACTGCTTGACGCGTTTTTAAGAATTGCACATACTCAGTATCCTTGTGCACATCGACCTATTTTCACTTTAAAAAAAATATCTTAGAATTGCACAAAAATGGCACTGCGCACACCCTTGACTTTATCTATGTACATATCGACCTATTGTCACTTAAAAAGTAAAAGAAAATTGACAAAAATCCAATTGTTTTTATCCTTGTAAAAAGCGGCAAACAAATAAGTGGGCGTTTCCGCACTTTACCGAGAATATTTTCAAAGAAAAGGCATCATTCATTATACAAAATTACATTTGAACAACCAACGAGATGAAATTGTGCTTTAGCCATAAGTCGGTAGCGAAATAGCGATGCAGGCATCCATTCAGTTATGCTTAGCAATTTTTATATAAATTATAATAATGATCTGAAATAGTTATTTACTCTTTTGCTTCCATTCAGTCATGTTTAGCCTTTTCTATATAAATTATAATAATAAAAAAGTATTATATGGAATTAACCTTTCATCTAAATTAAGACATCAATCTTGGATAGTTACTTCCTTTCTTGCATTAGGATTACCACAATTATTTTAGGCAGCATTGGCATCAACAATAGTTTGGTGATTTTTTACGGCCCTCAAATCCGAATAGTACCCATTCAACTATTCAGGTTGTCATGAAACAACAAGTTGGTAATAAATGAAACATTTTTACGATAATACAAGTAATACCCTAAAGTCAACTCTAACCGATGATTTTAATCAATTTAAAGCCCCCCCTTTTTTTTAAAGTGTATATTAGTGTTAGAGACGTTTTTTTTTCTGGTAGTCTTCCGTTTTCGGAACCGGATTAATAAATGTGTGGATGTATGTAGAAGCATATATATGTGTATAAATCCACATATATATGCTTCTACATATATAAATACATATAGACATTTCTTAATCCAGTCCTGCCTGATAACAGAAGAGTGAAGAGTACCTATTTTTCTTTCCATTCATTGAGATACATACTGGTAACAAATGAGTAAATCTGCATTTAGTTTTTGTATAAAATCTGTAGCAATCTGATTTTTTAGCCCTAATTTATCGAACTAATAAATAACTAATACTTAAATAGCTGGTTGTGTTATAAACTAGGTCAAACAAAACAATAGGTAAACATACAAAAAAAATTACCCTAATATATATGCTCTGTGATAAGATGACTTATGCAATAATCTACAAATAATAAATAAGAGTTTTTATAATGTATGTGATATATTTGTTAAATATAAAACTAGTTTATCAAAAATTTCATTAAAAAAAACTATGTAAAATTTTGTGGAAAATATATATGTAAAGTTTTTTTTCCCTACCTTTTTTAAAAATTTTTTGATGTACTAAACTACTTGAATACATTATTTGGTACTATTCCGTTTCGAGGCGCGTAAAAAAATCACCAAACTATTGTTGATGCCAATGCTGCCAAAAGTAATTGCGGCAAGAAAGGAAGTATAATAGTAAATAACTATCCAAGATTGATGTTTTAATTTAGATGAAAGGTTAATTTCATA